ATATATATATCCCACTCTGGGGTTGAGGTGAATAAAAGAACTGTGTTATGACCTAAATAACATGCTGTTGCTATCTGCAGAAAGTATTAAAGCATGAAATCCTGCATTTTTAATGTACGAAAGCATCCTGTATCATAACTACATGTGTGCCGTTTGTAACAAACCAAACCTCGTGAAAATCAGTTGAAAATTCAGTGAGTTATTCTAATTTACTTGTGCATACAGCTCCTTCCTCAATAGAAGTGAATGCACTGTGGAGGCGAAGCGAGACCCATCCAAGATGGCGGCCGGCGAGGACGTCGGCTCTGATAGGCAGCGGCAGTCAATGCGGCGTCTATGTATATATGTCTATGAAGGGCCCAGTCCGGACTGCCATCTAAAAACATTTTGGATCAAATATCTGACATTCCTGTAGTTTGTAAATGTTTCATTCCTGAGGCGGAATTTCCCGTACTTACTTCCGCTTTCGCTCTGAAGGCGGGGGTGTGTTCCTGCTGCCGCGCGAGCCCCACCCTCCGGTGCTGTTGTTTTGATTATTAATAACAGTCGCGCGCTGTGGCTCGTGCTGTCAACCGCTGAGTAGGTGCCGCCGAGAGTTGGCTCGCCGCGCGCATGCAGCAGAATGGCTCGAGCGGTTCCAACGGCTCTGACGGCTGCGGCAGCAGGGATCGTCCGGCTCCGTCCTTCAGCCCGCTGCCCGCCGCCACGACGCGGGTGAGGCGCTTCATTCAGGAGAGACGGACGCTGCCTCTACCCAGAGTGATGGTGGTGTTCTCGGCCGCGGGGGACACTGAGAAACCGGGCGATGCCATGTCCAGCGCGGACTCTGCTGCGGAGGACGAGTTCCGAAAGCCGGCCTCCCCAGCACCGAGCTTCAGCCTCGGCACGCCGCTCCGCTCCTCGCTCAACACACCGGAGCAGGAGGTAACGTTAGGCCGCTTTACCGGCCTGTTTTACCGGAGGAAATCACGGTAAACTAGCGCAGAGACAAGCTAGCAAACAGCCACGACACTGACACCAGAGTTAGCCTCACATCCAATGAACTAATTTCAGTGGCGGAATGTAACTAAATACATTTACTGAAGTACTTGTACTATACTTGAGACTTTTCTTTTAATGCCAATTTATACTTCTGCTTTATTTTAGAGCGACATATCTTTTATTTCACCACATTTGTCTGAGGGACTGTTCGCTATTTATCAGGGGGTGGTGTAAACAGGGGGAGACATGTCACATTAGGGCTAGTGGACCAACAGTCATCATCACGGTCCATCAGTCGACTAGTCTCCCGCATGTTTCTGATATGAATGTAATGATTAAATGATATATTTTGGTGGTTTGAGTTGAAGGTGTGAGAAAGAATAGTATCAGTAACATTGTTAACACTGTGCTACATTACAGAGAAATACAAAAGCGTACTAATGAACCTTCATTAATATAGGCCTATATTTTATCTACAAGTGCACGTCACACACTGAGCGAGCCGCCTGTTAATGACGCTGTGGGCTAATGGGCATGTAGCTACTTCCATGTTTCAGATGATACGTCATGTTTGTAGTCGACCAATGAAGATGAGTTTACATATCACCTTGGGTTCGTCCTTCACCTTCTCAAAATGATCCCACACTTTGGATTTCCTGCCCGACATGTTATTAACTAGCCTGTGGAAAAACTGCAGGTACCAGCCCTGGAAATTAACCTGACTCCTGTCTGACTGCTGAGCGTGGACACTTCCTGTGTCTGTCCTTTCAAATTGAACTCCCACATGGTCCAGTCATATAGGTTTGGATTTATTTTTACAAGGCGCAGCTCCAAGTAGAGTTTCACTTTCTTCTGCGACTCAGCGACCAATGAAATCTTGTTGACTAATGACCCTTTTGTTCGACTAATGTTTGGTCGACTATCAGGGGGCAGCCCTATGTCAAATGATTATTTTAAGCACTGGGCAGGGTTCCCACAGTCATGGAAAACATGGAAAAGTCATGGAATTTCACAGTTACATTTTCCAGATTTGGAAAAGTCATGAAATTTGGTTATCTGTGATGAAATTGATACAATAATCTTTTGTGGCCAAACAATGACCAAAAACATATCGCCTGGTGAGTCATAGCTCTGGAGATCAACTCCTCAGGTGAGAAATCAAGTTTCATTAGGGGCTGTCCACGTGTGATTTTAAGCTAACGCAGAGGTGGAGGAAGTACAGATCTGTCAGTAAAAGTGATAATAACTTTGCGTGGTCGTCTGATGACGCAACGCTTCCGGTGTGCTAAGGGCGGAACTTGACGGGTGTCACATGATGTGTTTTCATCGTAACTCAGAGAGGCTCAAGGAAAAATATTTGTAGCTTGGGGGAGGGTCAAAATTAAAAACAAAAAGAAGAAAAAAGTAAAACAAAGTCACATCCTCCCCTGATAAATAAAGGACAGTCCCTTATGCAAAAGCTACAAATATTTTTCCTTGAGCATCCCTGGGTGACTGGCGGACAATCCATGACCCTCCCTCCACCATAAATTAGTTATCAGATTTTAAAAGTTACCCTTTGATGTTTGAAAGTTAAAAGTTGAGGATGAAATCCTGGAGTTGAAAAAAGCCTCAGTTTTTTACTCATCGTGCAAATGGTTTATTTTTGGCCAAACTGTAAACGAGACATAGGATAAAGTGATTTTAATGAAATATATATAAGTGTTTGTTGCACATGATGTGTCCAGGGATCATCGGAAATTTAAAAATCCAACAGTAATCTCTGTTTTTCCACTTTCTAGCTGCGAGAAATGGTGTGATTTTGGTGATTTTTAAAGGAACATGCCTTTTAAACCCATGCAGGCTGTTTGTAAGACATGTTTTCTTTTAAAATAAATGCAATATACAACCATTTGAATTTGTATGCTCCGCCTCTAAGATAAAATAAAATAAAAAACATAAGTCCCTCCTCAGTGCTTAAAAAATTATTTGACATACCTCCCCCTTTTTGCACCGCACCCTCCTCCCTCATAAATAACAAACAGTCCCTAGAAAAAAAAGAGTTAATAAAATTTGATTTTTATCACAAATTAATTTACACAACAGCTGATACAAATAACATATACGTGCAATATGTGCAGTGTAGCTGTTTCAGAATAAGCTGTAAAGTTTTGTGTAGGATGTGCAAAAATATTTAACAGGAGATGTGCAAAAGTTCACAGCAGAGCATTTTTTAAAATATTTTTTTAAAATATATTTTGCTATAATTCATGCTGCTGGGCAGCGAGGAATCAAACGTCTTCTCTTTATCCATAATAAGATGTTATAATTTGTATGTTGATTATATTTTGTGTCATTAACCTGAATTTGCAAATGAATTATTGTTGTCAAATAAATGGAGTGGAGTAACAAGTGCTGCATTTGCCTCTGAATTGCAGGAGTACAAGTGTAAAGTCGTGGAAAATGGAAACACTATAAAAGTGCATAATATCTCGACCAAATTACGGCACAGTTTGTGCTGTATATGGCTGCTTATACAGGGGTCAGAGGTCAGCTGAGCTGGCACAGCCCTGTCCATGATTGGCTTACAGGTGCGTCACATTGCTTGTGTTAATGAGCGACGTGGCTACAGCAGAATAATCCTCTTATATCTGTGGTCTGACAGTGAAGTCAAAGACGGGCTATTCACAGCTCTGTGAATAATCCAAAGAGGCATTAACTCCAAATTTTTTAATTAAGTTTGGTCTGGTGACCAACAGGATGCACTCCTGTAAACAACAACATAGAAATCAGTGTTGTACTCTTAGGAAAGTGTGTCCACTGTGTGCATGTAAAGGGGGTGAAGTGGTGGGGGGACATATTTAACTCCTATAATGTAATGCGGTACCAGTAGTACCAGTAGCAGTCGTGTTACTCATCCCTGAAGACATAATTTTAGGAGAGGTTAAAGAGTCCTGTGCTAACTTTAATAACGACTTTTCAGTCCTGAGATTATTATAAGTTAAAATTAATATAGACAAGTAGCGCCAGTACCAGCGCCAGTAAATATACAGTAACCACATATATATAGAAGTATAAATATAGTCACCAGTTAAAAGAGCAGCAGCTTCCTGGCATCCATTTAAATTAAGGCCAATTAGATCTTACACTTGTAAACAAGGTTACAAGATAAACTACTGTAGGTGGGGACAAACTATCCAATACAACAACTAATATAAAAAGAAGAACCAAATAGCAAACCAAATATTACATTGTAAAACAGTCAGATATTGTCAAAAATATGAGGTTAAAATTGACCAAATAATTCTCTATTTATCTACACTGCACATTTAATTTCATAGATGAACAGTTTATCTTTCAGTTAAAGACTAGTAATTGATAAATTTAACCACCACTACTGCTCCTCTGGTGCATATTTGGAAAAACCTTCTTTAGGTCTCTAAAGTACATAAAGATAAACAAGTTTACTCTATATCCAAAATTAAAGGTATACTATGCAGGATTGTCGGTTACTGTCTGTAAACACACATTCAGTGAATGTAGAGTCTGTAGGCAAACCCCGGAGATCTTGCCTCCGGAAGAAGAGCGGAAGAGCCCTGGTTTCCGGTTGTAGGCTGTTTGTGGTCCATGTGATATTGACCAATCACGTTTGAGCCGGCTGCAGTTGTTGCCAGGTTAAACGGTCCATGCGGTGAACTAACAAGGCAGAACATATTTGCGTCACTGCAAACTCTGAATCCATCGCAATGGTTCAGCATATTTACTTATATATGAATGGAAGTCGGAAACGGAAATTCGCCTTCTTCGCCCAAATCAAAACAGAATGCCAAAAAATCGGGGGTCTGCCCCCAGAGGCTGTATCGCCATCTGCCGGAAATCAGACGCCGAATATAGCCGATGGGTTCAGAGAATGTATAAAAACTAAAGTGATGGTCAAAGTTGTCAAAGTGAAATTTAAGGTGTGTTGATGGATTCACATCATCCAGTCATGCATTGAGTAACATTACAAGTTAACGTTCCACCTTAAAAGTTGCCAGCAGTCGGCCCAGTGAATGAAGTTATTTTTTCTCAGACTCCAGCTGCTGTGAGAGGCAGCAAAACATCCTTTCATTTTATAGTTACAGTTTACTAATAAATCTCTCCACAGTATGAACAGTGGTTACATGAGCCTCAAAACCAGACACAACTCAGCCCTGAGCAGAGTGACCGTCCTCTACTGACCAATCAGACTGCAGTGTTCACAGCTCCACCTTTTAGTACCAGATCTGTGTGCTAGGTACCCCAACAGAGGGGGGACCAAACATGGGGACGGTAAGGAACGGTTCGATTGGTACCATCCACAACTTTTCACAGTGGAAACAGAAAAAAAGTGTACTGAACTGAACTGCTCGGTGGAAACGAAATTTAAGATGCCAGTTGCTTATGGTCTGACACCTGGTTGCGGACTTAGAAGTCCTGACCTCACCTGAGCTCTGGGGGTGTATGCCCATCCATCCAACACGTTTTTAAATTTGTCTAACAAACATTACAGTCTCAGCTTTAGCCTTTAATTCCATGTTCTCCCAGTTTCCAGAGGTCATCTCTCTGAACGTTGGGGGCACATACTTCACCACCCGCCTGTCCACGCTGCGGCGATACGAGGACACCATGTTGGCCGCCATGTTCAGCGGACGTCACTACATCCCACGTGACGCTGAGGGACGCTACTTCATTGATCGGGATGGAGCATATTTTGGGTGAGTTGCACTGTGTGTGTGCGCGAGATCAAAAATCTGAGCCAAATATCAGTAATAGATTCGATATTGATTCACTGGACACACACTCCTGTTCAAGTGATTGTAATCTCCTGCCATAAAAGCTCGACTCAGTTTTCTCTGCCTCTGTTTTCTCTATACAGGAAACAGTATGGCATTCACTTCCTGTTCAAAAACTCTCACTATTACAGCTAAACAGGGCACTAAAATGTGATTCTTAAGACATTTTAGGAGAGAAATAGGCAGTGTATTAACATAATCTTGATTTATAGCCACCTAATACCTATGATTTTGTATGAATATATTATTTTTTATTAGTTTCTTTACTTACACAGCACCACATAAAAGCTCCTTACAGCTCAGTCTGCTTTTTATTTCCTCCTCTACTCCATATTTTTTTGTTTTTTGCTTGTTTTTCACACACAAACACATAGAACGTGTTCATCGGTAACACATGTGACACATGATATGTGTCTATATATGCACTTTATGTACATATTTCTATTTTGCTCTGTTGACTATTATTTGTGTAAACAGTTGTAAATATTGTTCACTGCCTTTTAACTGTATTTGTGCTTTGGCAACACATGTTAAATGTTAAGCCAATAAAGTCAACTGAATTGAACTGACTTGACTCAATACGAAAATGTGGAAGTACAGCCTGTGGTTTGAGCAACAGCCAGCGAGACTCAGCCGAATGATATGTCTTTAACATCAGTTGGTGGAGCTTCCCGGGGAGGGGATGATATCTGGGCGCTGGTTAGATGGAGGGAAGTTTACCACAGTTCATTTACACATACTGCCCACAATGTTTGGATACAAAGCCGGTTGAAAATCAGTGAAATATCCCTTTAAACCTCTTCAATGTCACCACTGAGTAGACTGCAGAGGGCCCAAAGAAAAACGTACAAACTAAATATTTAGAGTCCAAATACACCGTTGTGGTTCAGTGATGATTGAGGGTCACTGACGCTTTTCTGGCCTGGAAAACAAATTGAAAAATCCAAGTTCAGGCAGCATCAGCAGGCAGATGGCAAGCAGTCGAGACAAAGACAATGAGGATGATGGTATTTACACAGGAATAAGTCAGCAGCATGGAAATATTGAACATACAGGTGAGCAGTCAAAGCACATGCCATATGTAAATAATGCTGTTATGGGATCAAAAAATGATGTACAGTACAGGCCAAAAGTTTGGACACACCTTCTCATTCAATGCGTTTTCTTTATTTTCATGACTATTTACATTGTAGATTCTCACTGAAGGCATCAAAACTATGAATGAACACATGTGGAGTTATGTACTTAACAAAAAAAGGTGAAATAACTGAAAACATGTTTTATATTCTAGTTTCTTCAAAATAGCCACTCTTTGCTCTGATTACTGCTTTGCACACTCTTGGCATTCTCTCCATGAGCTTCAAGAGGTAGTCACCTGAAATGGTTTCCACTTCACAGGTGTGCCTTATCAGGGTTAATTAGTGGAATTTCTTGCTTTATCAATGGGGTTGGGACCATCAGTTGTGTTGTGCAGAAGTCAGGTTAATACACAGCCGACAGCCCTATTGGACAACTGTTAAAATTCATATTATGGCAAGAACCAATCAGCTAACTAAAGAAAAACGAGTGGCCATCATTACTTTAAGAAATGAAGGTCAGTCAGTCCAGAAAATTGCTAAAAACTTTAAATGTGTCCCCAAGTGGAGTCACAAAAACCATCAAGCGCTACAACGAAACTGGCACACATGAGGACCGACCCAGGAAAGGAAGACCAAGAGTCACCTCTGCTTCTGAGGATAAGTTCATCCGAGTCACCAGCCTCAGAAATGGCAAGTTAACAGCAGCTCAGATCAGAGACCAGATGAATGCCACACAGAGTTCTAGCAGCAGACCCATCTCTAGAACAACTGTTAAGAGGAGACTGCGTGAATCAGGCCTTCATGGTCAAATAGCTGCTGGAAACCACTGCTAAGGAGAGGCAACAAGCAGAAGAGATTTGTTTGGGCCAAGAAACACAAGGAATGAACATTAGACCAGTGGAAATCTGTGCTTTGGTCTGATGAGTCCAAATTTGAGATCTTTGGTTCCAACCGCCGTGTCTTTGTGAGACGCAGAAAAGGTGAACGGATGGATTCCACATACCTGGTTCCCACTGTGAAGCATGGAGGAGGAGGTGTGATGGTGTGGGGGTGTTTTGCTGGTGACACTGTTGGGGATTTATTCAAAATTGAAGGCACACTGAACCAGCATGGCTACCACAGCATCCTGCAGCGACATGCCATCCCATCCGGTTTGCGTTTAGTTGGACGATCATTTATTTTTCAACAGGACAATGACCCCAAACACACCTCCAGGCTGTGTAAGGGCTATTTGACCAAGAAGGAGAGTGATGGAGTGCTGCGGCAGATGACCTGGCCTCCACAGTCACCGGACCTGAACCCAATCGAGATGGTTTGGGGTGAGCTGGACCGCAGAGTGAAGGCAAAGGGGCCAACAAGTGCTAAACACCTCTGGGAACTCCTTCAAGACTGTTGGAAAACCATTTCAGGTGACTACCTCTTGAAGCTCGTGGAGAGAATGCCAAGAGTGTGCAAAGCAGTAATCAGAGCAAAGGGTGGCTATTTTGAAGAAACTAGAATATAAAACATGTTTTCAGTTATTTCACCTTTTTTTGTTAAGTACATAACTCCACATGTGTTCATTCATAGTTTTGATGCCTTCAGTGAGAATCTACAATGTAAATAGTCATGAAAATAAAGAAAACGCATTGAATGAGAAGGTGTGTCCAAACTTTTGGCCTGTACTGTACCTGCCTGGACGGAGATCTCACTCCGCTAACTTCTCACGACAGCAACATTATCTGCTCTGTTTCAACAATGTTCAGCTGAAAACACCTGCATTCAGGCTGACATTCAACCGAGCTGTTCTGTCAGGAGATGCAGTGACATAAACCAATGGTGCATTAGAAAAAGTATAAATAATACATCATTTGTTAAGCTTTAAGTAGTGGAAATCTCCGCTAGCTTCTAGGCTAACTGATGCAGTGTAAACATGCGTGAACTAATAATGGGTGACCAGCAAAAAACAGTTGTCGTGTTTTGGTTTAAAATAAAAGATTTCTTCCAGAAAGGGCTCTCCATAAAAACACTCTGTGTCCAGGAACGTCCCGAACACAGCAAAATAAAAAGAAAATTCAGGCAGTAGCAGAGTCTCTCGGCTGTGGCTCAGAGGTAGAGTGGGTTGCCCGCCAATTGGAAGACCATCAGTTTGATCCCCGGCTCCTCCAGTCTGCATGTCGAAGTATCCTTGAGCAAGATACTGAACCCCAAACTGCTCCCAATAGCTGCTTCCATTGGTGTGTGAGTGTGTTAAAAACTGAGTGTATGAATGTGTGTGTGAATGGGTGAATGTGACTCGTAATGTAAAAAGCACTTTGAGTGGTCGGATGACTAGAAAGGTGCTATACAAATGCAGGTCCCTTTACCAAATACACCACCACACACTGTGAGTGGTTTATAAGTGATGATTGAGGGAGTTACTTTTGTCTGTTAATTGTTTTCTAGAAAAATCCTGCATAGTATACCTGTATTGTGGTTGTTTTGTTGATTTGTCTGTCTGCAGACCAGCTGCAGTAATATCTCCTCAGAACTGCCAGAAACACTTGGGAGAGGAGGGTTGTGTGAGAGAGTAGGATGTTTGTAAAAGGCAACCGAGAGATAGCAGAGGATAAGAAAAGTTCACACTCTGCAGTCTGAAAGCCGCTGATGGCAGCTCATTACATTCTGACAGGTATCCATGAGCCTCTCTGGCTCTCTGGCTTACTCCTGTAAACTGATTTACATATCTATTTTTGTGCTTTTTAGCTGATACATATGCCTGCACCAATTTAAAAAATTGGCCAATGTACGAAGCTGCAGATTCAGTCTGCGTCTGGACAGACACACAATAGCCCTGAGCTACGTGGTGGTGCCGTTCTGTTATGTAAAGGACAGGAAAGGGTGACAAAGTTGTAAAGAAAGCCGGCGGAAACTGACAGAAAGAAAAGGTGTGAAGCAGTGTGCATTGTCTCAGCCACAGACAAAACTAATTATATTTAACGGAAAGGATCGCTTTTTTCAGTTGGTGTTAAATAAATATCCTCAGAGACCCACGACCTGCTGCTGCAATAATCACACTTTGCACCTATTCTCACATTCTCACTTATATTTATACTTTTCTATTCTTTCATAACACAGTCTTGTATATAGTCTAGTCATCCTGCATTAACCTGACAGTAAAATCTTTCTTATCTTTTATCTTAAACATGAAGCCTGCAACGTGAAACAATTAACATGAAGTACAGCAATAAACAGACTAATATATAATATTACATTCAATTGAAAACTAATGAACTAATGTACAATTAATTGTGAGGATACTGGAGGCAGCCGAAACCAGGGCTCAGCATATGAGTGGGAGTCACCAGAGGACCCACGATACGATACTGGTTTAAATCACATCTTTCTGACAGACTTCAGTTCATCTCCATCAATAATTGCAAATCCCCCACTGCTCCCCTCTCCCAAGGTGTCCCCCAAGGTTCAGTTCTCGGTCCCCTCCTCTTCATCCTGTACCTGATTCCCCTTGGTTACATAATCCGCTGTCATGGTCTCCAGTTCCACTGCTTCGCAGATGATATCCAGCTCCTCATCTCCACCAAGACAGTCTCCACTGCCACCCACTCAATCCGGACAAACTGCATAAATGAAAATAAATCCTGGCTTCAAACCAATTTCCTCCAATTAAACTATGACAAATATAGATTAAAAATTAAAATCTTTCACCTCAAGAACATCGCCTGCCTCCGTCCATCCCTCTCCTCCCCAGCTGCAGAAACCCTCATCCACGCCGTCGTCACCTCCCGTCTGGACTACTATAATAGTCTACTCTATAGCTCATCTTCAAAAACCCTCAATAGGCTCCAGTATATCCAGAACTCTGCTGCTCATGACCACATCATCCCCGTTCCCCATAAGCTTTACTGGCTCCCCATCCCCCAGAGAATCCACTTTAAAATCCTCCTCATAACATACAAAGCCCTCAATAACCAGGCCCCACCCTGTCTGTCTGAGCTCGTCCATCATCATACTCCCAACCACACATACTGCCGAAGCAAACCTCCTGTCCCACCCCACCCGGACCAAGCACAAATCCTGGGGGGACAGGGCCTTCTCCATCGCTGCTCCCACCCTCTGGAACTCACTCCCCAAGCCCACCTGAGACTCCCCCTCTCTCTCCATATTAAAAAAATCACTCAAGACTCAACTGTTCAACGCTGCTTACAGTCACTGATAGTTTCTTCTCCTCATTCCTAATTTGTTCTCTTGCTTTTTTTTCTGTCATGTCCCTTAATTTGTAAAGCATCTTTGAGTGCCATAAAAAGGGCTATATAAGTATAATGTATTATTATTATTATTGCGATACAATATATTCCTATTTATTACCTTTTTTCCAACTGCAAATTATTTCCCCAAAGGAAAACTTTTGAGTCTGGTCATCTGACATTTTTATTGCAGCAAAATGTTTTTAGCATGTAACAAAAGTTTATCCCAATACTGAGCATATCGCAGTGATATTGTATCGTGACTTAAGTATCGTGATAATATCGTATCATGGGTCCTCTGTTGACAAAAAACCTGGGCAAGTCAGCCGCCCCTTTAATGTTGATGTGCTTCTATTCATGTTGTCATGATACCGGGTCTTGAAGCAGCCAAAAAGGACGAAGAAATATTTGCATTCCAGCAATAATTTATAACACATCATTGTTAAATTGTGACGTCATCAAAGAAGTCCTAACATGATCAAAACAGTGCAGTGGATTTCTGCACCAAATGTTCCTGACTATGACCATATTGTAGTTCCACTGCAAATTACAGCACAAGGAAAGTCTGAGTATTTAGAGCCCTGCCAAACAGCTGAGGCTGATGGGAATATTTTGTGACTTCACACAGATATTTGGGATTTTAAAGAACAACCCTCCTCGTTGTAAAATAAGTTCGCATTAGCCATTTCTGTAGCTTAAAATTAGCTTAAATTTTGTGTTAATAGACTGTTAACGTCTGTAACAAAGCATAGCAGTCCATCCCATAGTTGTCGAGTCATCCGCCTCATGGAGGTGCTGGAGGAAAAGTCAGTCACTCATGAAGGTCAAGTGGGCGTCATCCTCTGCTGAACATGAATGTCTGTACAAAATTTCATAAGATATTTAAGTCTGGACCAAAGTGGGCCGCTGGCGTTGCTAAAAAGCAAAAGCAAATAGCTTTAAATATGAATGTGATGACATGCTGAGTCAAGACGTTATGACTTATGTAAGAAGTGGGTTGGGGTAAGGTCAGGTCTGTATGAATGTGTCTGTGTGAGGGGGTGTGTATGAAAGATTTAAAAAGAAGGAGCAAGCAGAACAAGAACGGGAAGATGTGTAACTATATAAAGTAAAACAATAAGAGAACCTCTGCAGGTGTATCCAGACACTCAGGACGAGCCATTAACACCAGTGTTTTTATGGCTATTGTCTTGGCTGGAAAATAAATCTGCCGTTGTTGTACACTGCAGCAGCTTTTTTTCCCCCTCCAGGAGTATTTTTCTGCATTTGTTTTATCCTCTGTGTTCACGAGCCCTCCAGGTTCTGCTGCAGACAAGCAGAAAATCTACTTTATTGGCTGAGTGTGTTGATACAAACAAGGATTTGGAGTCCAGCTGTCAGGAGCTCTCAGTGTCTCACACACAGCTGAAGACAAATGTACAGGAAGTTGCACCTTGTGATGAAGCTCTGTATCAGTCCTCTGTTCTCCTTCTCGTTGTCTTTGCTGATGCATCCAACAACAGAGGAGTCGATGGAGAACTTTTCAAGGTGGCAAGAACCAGACTTAAAACAGATTTAAGGACCGTTACCTCAGTTGGATAGAGTGTGGTGCTAATAACGCAAAGGTTGTGGACTTGACATGTGGACTGGTAGCTGAAGAGGTGCAAGTCCATGCTTCTGGGTACTGCTGAGGTGCCCTTGAGCAATGCTCTCATCCATAGGCAGCCCCCTTGCTCTGACATCTCTATATGTAGCGCATGTATAGGTCCTGTTTGTGCAGGTGTGTGTATTTCGGGCCTGTGTGTTAAATAAATGTCCCCTCTGAGATTATTAAAGTATATTTTCTTCTTCCTCTAAAAATGCACACCGTCGGCTAAAGGTTTGGAATCAGCTGTCATGTTTCTCGTCTTTCCTTCAATAATGTCTGTTATAACAGAAATAAAAACCAAACTTAAGAACTGTATTGTATGTATATATCAAAGAAACAGAAAGGCAGACATAAACATGTAGCCAGGCATGTTGGCAAGCTTGGAATATACTGAAGCATTGAGTGAATTTGTTCCATATCTGTCCATATCTGTTCCATTTAAAGGGACATCCTGAACTTCCTGCGAGAAGGCGAGCTTCCCCACAGGGACCGGGTGCGGGCGGTGCACAGAGAGGCTCAGTACTACTCCATCGGCCCGCTGCTGGACAGCCTGGAGGACACTCAGCCGCTCACAGGGGAGAAAGTCCGACAAGCTTTCCTCGATCTGCTGCCCTACTACAGAGGTACCTGCAGTCTGTCGCCCTCACAGGCTGAAATAAGGGGAGGGGAAATTCAATGTTTTCACTCTTGCTTGTTTTGACTCAATTACACACAGGTCTGAAAGACACACACATGCACAAACAGGACCTATACATGCACAAAGTGAAGAGATCTCAGAGTGAGAGGGCTGCCCTTTGGTCAGGCGCCCCGAGCGGTTGGGGGGTTCGGTGCCTTGCTCAAGGGCACCTCGGCAGTGCCCAGGAGGTGAACTGGCACCTCTCCAGCCACCAGTCCACACTCCATATTTTGGTCCGGACGGGGACTCGAGCAGGCGACCCTCCGGTTCCCAACCCAAGTCCCTATGGACTGAGCTACTGCCGCCCCAACAGTGGACAACAGCCATGGCTGTCCGTCTGTATGTCTGTCCCATTCTTGTGTACGCATTATCTCAAAAAGGCCTTTCGGGAGTTTCCTCAAATTAGGCACAAACATTCACTTAGACTCAACGATGAACTGGTTAGAATTTGGTGTTTGAAGGTCACGGTCACCTTGACCATGTCCGTTTCCTTCTCGTGCATTTAATATCTCAAGAACGCGTTTCGAATTTTCTTAAATTTAGCACAAACGTCCACGTGGACAAAGCAATGAACTGATTAGAGTTTGGTTGTCTCGTTCTCATGAAGAGAATGTCTCAAGAACAGCTTGAGGGAATACCTTCAAATTTGGCACAAACTCAACGATGAACTGATTAGAATTTTCTGGTCTAAGGTCACTGTGACCTCACAAAACATGTTTTTGGCCATAACTCAAGAATTAATACGCTGACAAACTTCACACAAATGTCTAACAGGATAAAATGATGAAGTGATGACATTTTATATCCAAAAGGTCAAAGGTCATCTATACTGTGACATCATAATTAGGGATGGGCAGTGCAAGCAAAAACACTATTTGAAAATCATGGCAACTATTCACCAATTATTGAATAATTACATTACAAAATTACATTTTCCACCTAAGTTATTACATATATTTGAGTTATCTGCAAGTTTACTGTACTGTTTGTCATCTACTCGCTTTCAAATGTCCGCCACGGACATTTACACAATGTCACGGATAAACATGGGTAAATGCATGAAAAAAAAGTCATCACATATCACCTCTGATAATGGTTTATTCATTTAAAAACACATTGTGCTTGTTTAGCACACTATTTCATGTAGTTTTTAATCTGCTGGAGGGTCACGTAGGGGAGCGTAGCGTGACAAAAATAGAAGAGCCACGTAAAATAGAGAGTTGTCGCTCAACAGACGGGGGTTGTTGCGCTGCTCCCGTTGCCGGTGTAGCCGCTGTAATTGATTAACAGGGGGCGAGCTGCTACGGGACTCGCGCTGCAGACGTGTCACGCCGCTGATGTGCCGCGCCGCTGACGTGCCCGGTGGAGCCCGGCCGGTATGGTCCCTCGCCGCCTCTTGCGTGCCTCGCTCTCAAATGACTGTGCATACTTGTTGTAGACTTGTGATACGCAAGCTTTGCCTCAGAGTTTGCACTGCACCTCATTTTCGTTTATTTTGTCGAAGTTGTTCCACACGGAACTTTTTGATGACTGTAGTAGTCTCTGCATATTTCTCCTGTTTGTAGAAGAGCATCAAACTAGCTGGTAGCCCATCTCACACCGCTGGAGCAATCCTATACTGCCCTCGTGCGGTTAGGAGCTGAATTGCATGTCAAATAAAGGGGGGAAATAAGACGGTGATTGGTAATAGTCGCATTAAAAAATCAATTTTTCAGAATAAAACGACTATTCGAAAATTCGAAAATCGTGACCCATCCCTAATCATAATGTTCTGCAAAAACACTTTTTTAGCAATTATTTAATGTTATAGCTCAGGAACAAAAGGGGAGAACTGATTTGATTTTGGTGGTCAGAGTTCAAGTTCACTGTGACCTCGTTCGGTATCTCAAGAACACCTTGAAGAATTTACTTCAAATATGGCACAAACGTCCCCTTGGATTCAAGAACGAACTGATTTCAATCAGGGGAGACTCTTTCTGAGAGAAAGGAATATTTTATTACATGTGCACATAAGTATAAGAAATGTGAAGTCTTTGGTGATTAGACCTCATCGTGATGTCATCTATTCCAGGAGGGTGGTAAAGATGTAGTAGATTAGGGAATTTAGGTTAGATTAGGGATTTAAATATACCTTAATTGCCTCAGTGAGCCACTAGATTAAGTAGGATTTTGAGGTAGGTTTGATTTACATAAAACAAAACATTTACTTAACTAGCAGAAAACACAACATTTAATGTTTTCATTCATTCATGTTTTCATTTCAGACAATCTGGAGCGCATCGTGGAGATTGCCAAACTGCGGGCCATGCAGAAGAAGGCACGGTTCGCCAAGTTGAAGATCTGCGTCTACAAGGAGGAGATGCCCATCACGCCATACGAGCGTCCTCTTTTTAACTCTCTGCGTTTTGAGCGTTCGGACAGCGAGGCCAAGCTCTTTGAGCACCACTGCGAGGTGGACGTTTCCTTCGGACCCTGGGAGGCGGTGGCGGACGTTTACGACCTGCTGCACTGCATCGTCAGTGACCTGGCCGAGCGCGGCATCACCGCTGAGCAGCAGTGTATCGGCGTCTGCGACAAGCACCTTATCAACCATTACTACTGCAAGAGGCCCATCTACGAGTTCAAGATCACGTGGTGGTGAAGCTGGAGGGAGAAAGTTGGGGCTGATGGGACCAAAAAGCAAAAGGATGGATGTTTCATTTTTACTAGAACTCGGCCGATATTGGTTTTTGTATTGAAGTTGCCAATATTTTGTGCTGATGTCTTAAAATGTGACCCTTTAAGTCATGCTTCAACATGTAAGTAATCTGTTTCCCCTAAAAATTTTCTTTCTTTTTGAAATGGACCCCCCCCCCCCCCCCCCCCCCCCCCCCCCCCCCCCCCCCCCCCCCCCCCCCCCCCCCCCCCCCCCCCCCCCCCCAAGCAAACAAATTACATCCAGCTGCCAGTTTATTAGGTACACCCAGCCTATAACAGTCCTGCAATAAATCTTTAAACTTGCATTTTAACTTGCATAAAGGGCGGAGTTATTGCAGGACTGTTGTATTATTGACTGCAGCAGTTTTAGCCTGGTGTACCTAATAAACTGGACACAGAGTGTAAATACCAAAGCACTGCTAGGCCTTTTAAGAGCAACATTAACACCCCTTTAAAATCCTGTTTTTACTCACCTCCAGTGGTTTAACTTCTCACCTTGATGCAGTGATGTAACGGTGTACTCCAGGACCTTGTGACATCACTGTAAGGCGTGGTTACAGGTGCAGCAAAGCATACCTGTGACCACACACCCAACAGTAATGAAGAAGAGGTGAAACACTTTTAACTCTGAACCAGAGAGGAAAACTACTGCTGTTCAGTCGGTAAGTTATCTATCATTAAATTCTGATATTTAGGAAGCAGTGCATATTTCAAGGGTTGGTGGCGCTCAGAGTCCAGCACACAGTCACTGTGGTTGCACTCAGGTTGAAGCAAAAACACAAAGCAAAAATGATACCCCTCAGGTTGCAGCTATGTGTGCAAAACGCGAGTGAAAGGTCGGCCATTATGCAGCGTCTGCAAACAGCTGAGTATGATTTCTATCTGTGGGACACATCTGAAACGGACGATTTAAAGCTGGAGTGCAGAACTTAAGTCTCCCTCCTCTGGCAGTGTGAGTATTGTTTAGACTACACGACATTTTTGTCTGTTATTATTCGAGTTATTAAGGTAGATAATTCTAAGGCTGTGTAACGATACTAATCCAGTACTCTTAAAACGATACCAACACCAACTGAGTACTTCATTCCATACATTAAAACTTTATTAATAACCTGGGCTTTTATTGATTCAGTCACTGAACTCAACAGGTGTATATTTGGGACAGGTGTCTGTAGGTGACAGGCCTCACTCAAGAAAGATGGGAAATACAATCATATTGTTTATTTAAACCAGTATGAATATTACTTAAAAAAAATTAGGCTATGCAATAACATATCTGTTAGGAATCATTCGTTTGATCTAGCTCTGAGACACATACACGCAGTCACGATGGTTGTTTTACGGCACCTGGCGTACACGGGCGCACCAATACAACACATTTCTCTATCCTGTTAAAACAATGTTCACAACTTGGAATCATTTTTTTTAAAAACCCGTCTTGGTTCTTTTGATCAGTGAAACCTTACAGACTTAAGGAATATAAATAATACAGGTTCATCTGTCTTGTTCATCTGTCTGCCGGTAAATCGGAATGAATTCTACTTTGGTGCTCATGTTTATCTTAAAATAAACTGAACGACTGAATTGCAGAGAATCTAGTGGAGCTAACGATGTGTAGCAGTTTAAACATTTATGCAGCTAACTAACTTTAGCTCATGTAGCCGACAACCTGGCGGGTTTTAAAAGGTTTTATATCCAAAGATCTTCTATAAAAATGAACTGCCTCACAGTGGCAGCCTGACGTGGCGTCTAACTGTGACTAGTGTTTAGTTGTGGAAACGTGTAGCAAAGAAAAACGGACTCATCGTTTCATCAGGGCTTTTAATTAAATTTTTACAGAAGTCATAATTTCAAAGGTTTCAGTGGCACCTCAGCACACTAAAGTACACACTCAACGTCACCAGACCTGCTGCCCAAAAAGGACCAAATGTTGTTTTTGTTTTTTGTTTGTTTGTTTATTTGATTTTTTTTTTTTGAGTGGTTGGGTGGTTGAGGTTTTTTTTTTTTTTTTAGTTTTATTTATTTAGGTTTTTTTGTTTTGTTTTATTTGAGTTTTTTTGAGTGTGGGGGGGGTGTTGAGATTTTTTAATTATTTTATTTCATTTTATTTTGAGGCTTTTTGTTTGTTTTTGAGTGTTTGGGTGGGTCTGTAGCTTCCCAGTGGAGTTTCTTATGTTATCAAATTCAACTATTCAAATTTCAGATGAATTACATGTTTTGGTATCAAAATGCTGTTTTCCCAAACCCTCCTAACGACATGACCTGACTTAGGATTCTGCACGATGTCATAGTTGCCTCTCTGTGGCTGAGCCAAGCTGTCTTTTGAGAACTGCGCATTTTCATTCTTCCAAATTAGCTTTGTAGTAGCTCTTAAACAGGCACAGAACCTGAGCAATGTGCTGCAGTGGACGCCATGTTAGTTTGGATCCAACACCAACTGACTAATGGAGGCGGCGGTAGACCAGCAGCTCCCGTGTTCTGCGAGGTAAAATTGACGTTTTTGTCAAAGGAGTCCGGTGGCTTGGAGGAGAGAAATATAACAGCTTCAGTTCCCTTTTGGAGAGGTCTCTTTGACAAAAATATTACACCGGCTATGAATAAATATCTCATACAACCCCACTTCACAAAATCTGAACCCTTTAGTTACTGTTTTTATTCTCAGCGCTCTAACCTACATCACTGCTTTTTGCTAACGTCTTAGTTTCCATTTGAAAAACTGAGAAAAGAACGCAGGTGGTGTCAATCTTTAAGGCACATAACCTCATCCCAAAAAGTGTCTTCTTAGGCTTCAAATAATTTTTTCTTTTACGTGTAACTACAGAGACTGTATGCTGGAGATCTGTGGCTGAATGCTTCTCTGATGGAGACAAACTGACGACGGATTCAAGCTGCAAAAATGTGGAACTAAAAAAGAAATTCTGAAACTGTCACATCAGAAGTGGTAGCATCAGCGTTTATCTAATTTAAAAGCCAATTCTGCCCATTGTCCTAAATGTTTAATTTTTTATACATATACAGTACAGGCCAAAAGTTTGGACACACCTTCTCATTCAATGCGTTTTCTTTATTTTCATGACTATTTACATTGTAGATTCTCACTGAAGGCATCAAAACTATGAATGAACACGTGGAGTTATGTACTTAACAAAAAAAGGTGAAATAACTGAAAACATGTTTTATATTCTAGTTTCTTCAAAATAGCCACCCTTTGCTCTGATTACTGCTTTGCACACTCTTGGCATTCTCTCCATGAGCTTCAAGAGGTAGTCACCTGAAATGGTTTCCACTTCACAGGTGTGCCTTATCAGGGTTAATTAGTGGAATTTCTTGCTTTATCAATGGGGTTGGGACCATCAGTTGTGTTGTGCAGAAGTCAGGTTAATACACAGCCGACAGCCCTATTGGACAACTGTTAAAATTCATATTATGGCAAGAACCAATCAGCTAACTAAAGAAAAACGAGTGGCTATCATTACTTTAAGAAATGAAGGTCAGTCAGTCCGGAAAATTGCAAAAACTTTAAATGTGTCCCCAAGTGGAGTCGCAAAAACCATCAAGCGCTACAACGAAACTGGCACACATGAGGACCGACCCAGGAAAGGAAGACCAAGAGTCACCTCTGCTTCTGAGGATAAGTTCATCCGAGTCACCAGCCTCAGAAATGGCAAGTTAACAGCAGCTCAGATCAGAGACCAGATGAATGCCACACAGAGTTCTAGCAGCAGACCCATCTCTAGAACAACTGTTAAGAGGAGACTGCGCCAATCAGGCCTTCATGGTCAAATAGCTGCTAGGAAACCACTGCTAAGGAGAGGCAACAAGCAGAAGAGATTTGTTTGGGCCAAGAAACACAAGGAATGGACATTAGACCAGTGGAAATCTGTGCTTTGGTCTGATGAGTCCAAATTTGAGATCTTTGGTTCCAACCGCCGTGTCTTTGTGAGACGCAGAAAAGGTGAACGGATGGATTCCACATGCCTGGTTCCCACTGTGAAGCATGGAGGAGGAGGTGTGATGGTGTGGGGGTGTTTTGCTGGTGACACTGTTGGGGATTTATTCAAAATTGAAGGCACACTGAACCAGCATGGCTACCACAGCATCCTGCAGCGACATGCCATCCCATCCGGTTTGCGTTTAGTTGGACGATCATTTATTTTTCAACAGGACAATGACCCCAAACACACCTCCAGGCTGTGTAAGGGCTATTTGACCAAGAAGGAGAGTGATGGAGTGCTGCGGCAGATGACCTGGCCTCCACAGTCACCGGACCTGAACCCAATCGAGATGGTTTGGGGTGAGCTGGACCGCAGAGTGAAGGCAAAGGGGCCAACAAGTGCTAAACACCTCTGGGAACTCCAAGACTGTTGGAAAACCATTTCAGGTGACTACCTCTTGAAGCTCATGGAGAGAATGCCAAGAGTGTGCAAAGCAGTAATCAGAGCAAAGGGTGGCTATTTTGAAGAAACTAGAATATAAAACATGTTTTCAGTTATTTCACCTTTTTTTGTTAAGTACATAACTCCACATGTGTTCATTCATAGTTTTGATGCCTTCAGTGAGAATCTACAATGTAAATAGTCATGAAAATAAAATGCATTGAATGAGAAGGTGTGTCCAAACTTTTGGCCTGTACTGTATATAATTTACCACATTGACTTTTTCCTAGCTTTGCCCTGACCTTGACTGATATGTGACTGGTGAACTGTCTCACCACGTTTCCAGAACAAAGAAGTGAAGGAGTGAATATTAAATATTGTAAGTAGTCAGAAGTCAAATGTGTATTTTTTAGGACTAAGTTTAGTTTCAGGATGCAGATGAAACTGTGAGCCTGTTCCTTTTTGGATAAACAGAGTATATTTTAATTATGCAACCTCCTGAGGAGCGTGTTTTTAAAGATCTGAGAGCGTTTAGGGCGGTGTCCGTTTTGTCTTCACGTTTTACTCGTGACTTAAAGTTTCAGGGGACTGAAGGTAGCTGACGTTGTTACACACTAATGCAGAAATACAGTTTACACATTGTCCATTGTTTCTTAGTTAGAACATGTATAATTATTATAGTCACTGTCACAGAGAGAATTTTCTTATTTCATGTCGACTTTCATTCCACGTTTTTTCCAACTATAAGACGTTGACTGAAGCTGCAACATAGCGATAAAGGCTGAGCTAAATGTTATTTCCTACTGTACTTGATAATGAAGCACTTTGTGATTGTAACCAATATTTTTTTTGTTTACCTCAAATGAAAGTACCAGATAAACAACGATGGAGAGCAACAGCGCCGGCATCAGTTCATCTATAACATGCTTATTATAACAGATAATGCAGGAAAGATGCTACAACACTAATTTACACGGTTACGTTTGCATTGTTTTTATATTGTTATTTATCTGTTTGTGTTAGCTTCCAGGAAGCAAAAGTTCTGTCGTATTATTTGGGTTTAGTTTGCAGTGAAAAAGAAATGTCATTTTTATTATTTATGGTAAAAGTAAAAATAACTGTTAAATGCATTCACAATGTGTCTTTTTTCATTCATTAAAGCCTCCTGAACACCTCTGATTTCACACATAGAAGGCTGTTAATGGGTTTTACTGTAAAATAACCAGAGGAGATGAAATCAGTACATTTCCTCAGAATGTCCGTCAGGGATGAAGAGTACAAGTTTGAAGATTTAGTAAGAAATAAATACTGATTGAAGAAGTAATCAGGTGTGTTACCAGAGTTTAAGTAGTAATACCACAGTGTAGAGATATTCACTTACAGTTTCCCTTGACCAGTGCTCGTGCACAGAACAGGATGTATGAAGGGGGAGGCAGTGAGAGTGAGCGGGTAACTGTTGAAAATGACATCTTTGTTTGGGTGTTAAGTTCAGATATCAGCACTGGTAAGTATTTTATTGGTACCTTCATTCATGCTATGAAATAACGCTTTAAATCAGGCCTGTTCAGTTAGCAGCCAGCGGGCCACATGCAGCCCAGACGCAACCTTGAGTGTCCCGGGCAGGGATTGGTACCGAGACCTGATATTAAACAGCCCAAGGCAAATTTAATCAAAACCGTAATAATGGTAAGCTCCGACGTTATCAGCATTACATTTTAAAGTTTTGGTTTCATGTATCATCATGAAGCAGCCTCTCTCCTGCTCTCTGCATGTCAGGGCTGACCTCCTCCTCACAGCGCACACACACACACACACCAGCGTGAAGTCAGACAACAGCAGAGAGGCCGCGGAGCAGATGAAGGGAGATTACTGTTGTTGACGACAACTACGCTTGTTACTGTGAGTAAGTGCAATAAAACCACTGCCAGTAAAAAGCCAATACTTTATCAATACATGTGTTCAGCGTGTAGAAAGTCAAATTTCAATCTGCTCTGTCCACAGTCTTTCAGACTGGTACCAACAAAAGAGAGGACTCAGTAGCAGGACTCAAGTTACCAAAAGCTTGGGGCTTACGCAGAATGCAAAAATGCAAGATATCGGGTCAAAAACCAGAGAACACTGGGAAAAAAGGGCTCGAACACGTGCTCCAAACCACAGAGACGAACTGGCACAGACAAAGGGCAGCAGGTGGACTAAATACACAAGGGAGGAGGGGTAATGAGGGACAGGTGAAACCAGTCAGGGCGGGGCAATCACACAGGAGGGAAACACACGGGCAGAAAGTGAAGTACCTGAAACGAGGGATCGAAATAAAACAGGAAATACTAACATAACTGAAAACAAGGAAACATGACCTTGATGGGGACTTCAGGGTGTAACACAGTCGTTCATTCACAGCTATTATGTTTTACAATCACGGTTTACACAAGCACATCGCACTCATGGGACTAACAGCAAATTGTTAAAGACAAACTGAAATGAAAGCTGTCTGTATGTAGTCTGACACTTTATCTGAAAATGTACCTGAGGCGGCCGACCTGCAGACAAAATGTACCTGGATGTCTGACAGACAGACAGACAGACAGATGGACACTTTCACTTGTAATTGAGTATTTCCACAGTCTTGTATTGCTACTTTACTTTAGGTCTTTCACCCCTCCTATATTTCATTTTCAGCATGCAGTAGTGTGTACATTTACATCGTATTATCTCTTATCATCAGTGGTGGAATGTAACTAAGTACATATGCTTAAGTTTTGTAGGACAGTTTTAGGTACTTTTTATTTTTCACTTCACTACATTTGTCTGACCGCTTCAGATTTTTGCATATTGTGGAAACACTTGGTTGATTTTTTGAATGACAGAGTAGTATTTTGTAAGTATGATTTTTTATTTATTTTATTTTATAACTGTCTAAAGTACATGTTCAACCAAATGGTTGAATTGTCCTTTTATGGTAAAGGTGGTGATGCTACGATAATACATTTCCAATTTTATGGAATAA